GAGGCATCTCAAATCGTCGCAAATGCTGATTCTATTCTTTGTCTGGGCACGTCTCTCCAGGTATGTGTACCTATTTGCTCTTCCATACTATCCATTACTTATTATTCGTAGTTATCTAATTTTACGAATTTGCACCTGTCCCTATTAAACCAACTTTTATATAAGTCTGCTGTTTTACCTGAAACCTTATCGTCAGATTTCTATTTTCATACATTATTATAGATGTTATGCATGCTCAGCAATGTTGTAATATCGGTACGAACTATTAGAAATAATTCTTTTTCGTCATTATTTTAACACAGTCTCCATCGTTTTACAGATTTTGCGCCATCCAGTGCGCAGTAGCCCTCCAGACCAGCTAGCAGGATGGGTTGATCTTAATCTAACTTTATTATTTCCAAATATTGACTGTAGTGATCTCTGATTATATACGAAATATAACTAATATAGTCTGTTACAGCAAAAATACGTTCGTTCCATTAGCGATCCCACCAAAGAATGTGATATTGGAAGTGGCCTGATCTTCCTTGAAATTCGCAATTTGGCTGAGTGATTAATATGTCAAGCTCACATGCTGCACTGTTACGGTTAGACTTCCGATGGGGCTCTGATGATACCTAGGCGAGGTCGAAAATTCAGTCCGCCCTGGATGAGAACAACTTTTGGAAAAATAAAGCTATGTGGAACATCGGTTCTATTTATATTATTGTGGAAAAATTCGACTAGCAGTCCTTCACTTTAAACGAAACAGAGTGAATAAACCTCAGTTCATATATATAATTCCTACTTTATTAATGCATTCTTGATTGATCGTTAGTGGGATTTTGGTATTGAATTTTGATATTCTGGCTTACTTGATTCCGAGATTAAAATTTTACTTGTCCTGGAATACCTCGTTCCTAATCGGTCTTTTTTAAAAATTTATTCCAGATATACTCTTCTTATCGTCTGGCGACTCAGGCGAGTCAGGCTGGAATCCCAATCGGCATCGTTAATATTGGTCCGACACGAGCTGACTGCCTCGCATCACTAAAGATCGAAAGTCGCCTTTCTGAAGTCTTGCAAGCTACTCAATCTCAACTGGCGAAGAGCTGAAGCCACATCCTAGATTTTGAAAGGGCCGGATCGCTTAGTAATTTCGCTTGTTGCCGTAAAAGTTACTTAGAGCATTCAAGCTAAAAAAATTTCTAATCACTCTTCTGCATATTCTTCCTGTGCTCTCCCAGATTCGACTCACATTAGATGTGTTAAGAAAGCTCAGACAGAGTTGAAACAGCGATCCAGTTTAATGAGAATACTTTTTCGAAGTAAGGCGTTTCCGTAGGAACAGTTTAAGCCATTGTCATTGATTCCATCAAAAAAAATTACTGGTGATAATTACGTCGAGCACCTGATCCTCAAACGCACCGAAAATTTCTCCCTCAAGCCTAGACAACAGCTAAAGCTTTGTAATAGCTAATATTATTTTGCCATCTACAGCTCTCAAAAGAATAGACTTTCTTGGGATGTAAGCAATCTTTGAGACGGTTTCAACTTGCCAGCAGCGATTTTGATTTAATCCTCTGATACTCAGTGTCGAGTCAGTTGAGCTGAGACCCCTAGAGTATCACCCCCACACGCGTGTCACCCTTTCCTCGGCATCGCGGAGATACTTGTATATTTTATATAAGCCTAATTGGTTTCAATGGTCCCAGAAGTTTAAGGCCAGATGTAACGCTTATGCTATTAGTCAGCTACAACGCTTGCCGGAATCGGAACCACCAGAAGACCTCTGAAGGTGTCCCAATTTCACATACCAATTACTAGTATGTCTACGTGGAGCAATAATAAGCAAGTAGCCAGTGTTGGGCATTCGCGTAGCCTTATCTGGCCTTGCAATCTCAATGGCTCTCTAGGTTCTAGTATCGTCCGATGTGGTGTGTAATCACTCATTGAAGTATCTCTCAATAGCCAAGGGAATGTTGACCTCTAATCCGTTCTACCACAAACAATCGCCAATTTCAATTATGGTCATGTCTGCTGATGGATACACAAAAGATAAATACCGCCTTAATAGCAGACGTTTTGAGACCTATATCGTTTAACTCTTTCACGCGAACGCGATGACGGTCCCTGTTGATTCAAGATTCCGTTTGAGAAAAGCCGACTAAGATTTCGAATACTGGTTAATTCATACTCCCTGAGATACACTAAATTGTTGCGATCACGACTTCCGCTTAGTTGGGAACAAGACATTTAGATTTCGGTGCGATCAAGCTATGTACCCAGACTTGAGTCTTCATCATAGCAGCCATGATAATCTTCAGAATGTTACGCGGACATAGTTTGAGAATTTACCAAAGGAACAGTCTGAGATCGGACACTGGATATCATGGTAGGGTTATGTACGTTAAACGAGGGGTCTTCATGTTGCCTCGGCTTAGTTACGAAACCTAGGTCAGGCCAACAAACTCAAAGAAGTAGAAAAACCACTAATTAACAGCAATCGCGCAATGGCCCACAAAAAGAGACCGACGTCTTCAAGCATTTCTTTGATACTTAAAATCGGGCTGTTCGGCTGTGGTGCCGTCACCCTAGTACTCGAGACGACAAGAACCATGGCCTCTGGTTTGTCCCGTTGCTATACTGAAGAATTAAACAACACCTCTGGAATTGCCTAATTTAGTCATTCCGAATTATTGTCCCTCCCGCAAGCGTCCTTTGAAAAGTTTTTCATACATTTGCCATTATTGACGAGCTGAGAGTACGCTAAGTAGAGATTAATTATTTGTTATCCATTCTATCAGATGGAAAAGCGACTATGAAACGGGAGAAACTGACTTTATCAAGAAAATACAGGCGATTTAATCGATTTGAGGTCACCGAGTGTGTATGCAAGTCATTCGCAGACCGACAAAAACAATTATCTGAAATGCATATAGTGTTATAATGAGTCTGTTTAATTAAATCTCACACTATTGTCACCAGTCATTCGGATCCTTATTTCCACTCGATGTGGTTTGCCCTTTTAAAATGACTAAAAAATAGTTGCGTCAAGTAAGCATAAAAATGATTTAGTCTTCGAGGGAGTAATTATGGATTTGCTAAGCAATATGTACAGCTTTATTGAAATCGTCCATCGCAGCTTCAGGGACCGAAATGCAGGTCGCTTGTCCAAGAAGAAGGTTTATCATTCGCCTCAACCCGGCGCTCGGAGCACCTGGGACAGAATTGTTTGTGGTCGCCACTAATTCATCATCGCGGTCAAGACAGCAGGAAATTAGAATCAATTTACGTTTTGCCCTCGTGATCGCCACCGTCATGCGGGCGGGATCATCAAGCAGGCCAGCAAAGTCCCTGTTGACGGAATGCTCCTTAGGTGCCGTGGACGGAACTTGGCGTGATGTTGACTGTAAATAAAAAATGATGAGGCAAGAAAAATTGAATCGAGGATAATACCGAACTTGTGGCTAAAATGATCTCAAGATGTGCTGGTTTCTCTACCATGTCTGAGCGGTGTGTAGGTAGGGATCCTCTAAAAGTAGTATCAAGACTTGCTTTTTTATCAAATCAAATAGAATAAAATAATAGTTCTAGTATACAAAGTCAATAATCCTATGTTAAATAGACCAAAAAACAAGACGCTGATGTGTAAGGTGTATCAATTCATACTTTTTTCGATAAGACAGAGAAGCTTGAAAACAATAATTAGGCTAAACACAAACGTGCCAAGTTCTAATTAGATCGTAGATATGAATACCAAAATAGCGTAGTCTACTGTTTGGTCGCAGTCTCTAGATGTATAGCATTGGTTCGACCTTGTTTTCACAACTTGGTAGAAGCGTCAGAGACCTTGTGGAATGTACCTAGTTCCGTGTCCTCTGCCATAGTATTCGTGATTTCCAGTATTGGACCATTGGCTGGATACATTCCCAAACGTTTCGCCGGTATCGTCAGTGAGAGGCACCATCGTAAGCACGGAATTACAAGTGACAAGTGAAAGCAGTCTCTTTGACTAATTTTCCATTAAATCGTTGTGGCATCACTCCTCGACGCTTTTTTTTGTTCTAACTTCTAGTGAGGCATCTCCTCCCAACTCCACTTCATATGGCCCATACACTTATTCATACAATTCTGTGCTCTCATTTGCTCCAGTGTCGCTTAAGAGTGTGTCGCCAAAAGTGGGGTTAGTCAAGCGTAAACATCACCACTGACACCTGATGTCGTTCGCAGGTCTCCTGACCTACATTCTACCCCATTTTTTTCCTACCCGCTTTACATTTGATCGCTACTAAACATCAAAATCACTGAAATCTGGTTGCCTAAGAGCCTTAAATTCCCGTCCTCGATTAAGCCATATTAGAGAATTTATATTAAATGATGCCCATGTCCATACCCATGCACATGTGAGTGCCTGGGACTCTTCCTCTCTCAAGGTTTCAAACCCATGACTCAATTATACTCTCCGATACATAGGAAAAATATACACGACACTTGCGCACACCCACTGGTGAGCTGTATTTGGCCCAACTGCATCATTAGCTTTTAATTTCATATTCTACATCCCCCAGGTGAACCCCCTGGGTAAGTTTTCGGCCAATTATACGTCTGAATCTTCTTACTGCAGTCGCCTTTGTTTAACTTCAATTTTTTCTTTATTAGCCGCTCCTTGGCAATGTATATTCCTGTTGTTGAACAGTTGTTCTGGGTTCACGCGTCTTCTTTTCGATGTATTCGTTGAATCTCCAAGTCTGCTTGGGCAGTACGTGAAATTATCGCTGACTCTACCCTCTTCTAGTCTCCTTTTCATCAGGTTCCTTTGAAAGAGGATTTCCACAGCCTCCCTGATCTTCCATTTCCTGGTGTTTTCCCCATATGAAGCTAGTCTTTCCGTTG